TCAAAAGTTCCAGAGAAAAGAGGTGAATCTATTTGTTCTGATAGGGGTTTAAGAATTTCCGGTACTATCCTGTTATACATCCCATTAGTTTTTATGCATCGTTTTGAGACCTTTTGAGAGAAAAACCTTTTGAGACAAGACCCTTTGAGAAAAAGTGTTGATAGTTTAAGTATCAGATTTGTTTAGATTATAATTTCAGAAAAAAAAGGTACTTTAGGTAAGCATACTCATAAAGTATTTAACACATTATCATAGATTTAACCCAGTTAGTTGTTAAAGTATTAGGTTTTATAATAGGATAGTACCAAATTTCCCTTTTGCATCAGTTGGAGAATTAAAAAGTAGCTGGTAGTGAAAGTTCGAGATATCCGTTATGTTACAGCTTTTCTCAATGTTCTTATCTCCAATTACAAAGTATTTATTTTAGCCAAATATCCCACAGGATTACGCGCAACCTAACGAACATGTAGCTGGAGTTGACAACAGTGCCGCCGGAGTTGACGAGAGCAATGGCAAAAGCGAAGAAGGAGCAATAAAATTCACAGGTAAATATGGTTTTGTAAATTGATATATTGTTGGCATTTAGGCCCCAAAAACGATCGCCAAAAAGCAGTTGCTGGTGCCTTTAAACATGCCTGGGATGGATATAAAAAGTGGGATACTTGTGACTATTTTATAATTAGTCAATTTCTAGATACGCTTGGGGACATGATCAGTTGAAGCCGCAAACTCGTACCTATTCGGATTGGTTCGATACGGGTTTAACGATCACCGATGCCTTGGACACAGCGATCATTATGGGCTTGGAAGATGGTTGGATACTACTGTTTTTCAAAAAATCTGGCAGACTCAACCATTTTATATTAGCTTACCTACATTTTTCAGAAGTTCGAGAAGGAACTGAATGGATTGAGAAATCGTTGAGCTTTGATAAGGATCGCTATGTGAATCTCTTTGAAATCACAATTCGTGTTATGGGAGGATTGCTAACGAGTTTTCATCTAACAGGCAATAAGGTACCTATCTAATTTTTTATACTTGCAATATTGTTGATTTAGATGTTCGTAATACGTGCAGAGGATCTCGCTGATAGATTGCTTGGCGCTTTCACCGGCTCAAAGTCTCCAGTTCCATTCAGCGATGTGAATTTGAAAACGAGGTTAGTTTTAAATTGAATGCACAATGACAAAGTGAAAGTGCCATTTTTTTCAGAGCCGCTCGTGGTCCTTCTTGGAGCTCCGAAAGCAGTCTCTCTGAAGTCAGCACTTTGCAAATGGAATTCCGTGATTTGAGTCGAATTACTGGAAACGCAACTTTTGAGGTTTGGATTTCGTCATTTTGTCGTACTCTTTCGTTTTAGAAAACGGCTTTCAAAGTCTCCGAACACATTCACGAGATTGGATGTGCTGCACATGACGGTCTTTGTGAGATGTTTATCAATGCGAACACTGGGAGATTCAGAGGTTGGATCGAAATCATTTTATATTTTTGTTTCCCATTTTAGAGAAGACAACAATTACTTTTGGAGCTCGTGCGGACAGTTACTACGAATATTTGTTGAAACAATGGGTTCAAACAGGGAAAACGATTGAATGGTGAACTTTTAGAGAAAACTTTTATCTTTGTGCTCAGGTTGGCCTCCGATTACCAAGAAGCAATGGCTTCAATGGACAAGAAAATGGTTAGATTGAGTGAACCAAACAAGTTGCTCTATGTTGGTGAACTACTGCCACCGTCAGATTCATTTTCACCAAAAATGGTAGGAAGTATTTTTTTATGAAGTTTTTTTATCAATTTCTGTTTAGGACCATCTTGTTTGCTTTTTATCGGGAACTCTTGGCCTTGGAGCTAAAAATGGGATGCCACCAAGACATATGGAGATTGCTGAGGTATTTTAACATCCCCAGGAAAATTCATGTCACCGTTGCCAAGTGCTAAGATTTGATATATCATTGCTAAAAATGGGTTTGAATATTTGATTTACAATTTCTAGGGTCTTGCTGCTGCTTGTCATGCCATGTACCAAACACCGACTGGTTTGGCTCCGGAAATCGCTTACTTCAACATGAACAAGGAACAACAAAGTGACCTATCGATTAAGGTATTTTTAAATTTTTTCGAGACAGATACTGCAGCAGTTTACGTTGATCATGCAGCAGTTTAGGTTGATCAATTTTAGATCAATTGTTTTTTAGCCATTGGATGCTCATTGTCTCCTTCGCCCAGAAGCAGTCGAAGCCTGGTTTTACATGTATCGATTCACGGGTGACAAGAAATATCAAGACTGGGGCTGGGAAGCTTTTGAGGTAAAATTTATGGGTTCATTTGTGGAATTTCTTGATTGTAGGCCATCGAAAAGTACGCAAAGCTGGATGTCGGCTACTCGAGTGTGAACAGTGTGAAGAAAATTCCAGTGACTTACAAGTAAGTTTAAAGTTTAAACTGACAGAATTCGAAATGCAGCTAAAGTCGCATGAAAAACTTTAATTACTCTATTTTCAGGAATCTGATGGAATCGTTCTTCTTGGCCGAGACGTTGAAATACTTGTACCTCCTGTTCGACGACGAAAAGGAGCTGATTCCACTTGACAAATGGGTTTTCAACACAGAGGGACATCCATTGCCAATCTACAAAAATTAGGTATTTGAATGATATTAATAGGATATTCGATGTAATACAACGAAGCCTTATTGTTATTTTTGCATATGTAAATTTAATGCCCTGAGATTTTCGCTATGATTCTTTGAATGATGAATGATTTTTCCCTGCTACTGCTGCTGTCTAGTCGAACTGTGATCCATCTTTGAAAATTTGTCGCATTCGGGTTTTTTGCTGTTATTGCCTTTACGAGAGAATGTACCCCGTTTCCTTTCGGCTCAAAAACACTTTTGTCACAGACCAATTCTTTTTGCTTCTTGTGTTTGGTTTTCTGAAAGGTATTTCTTACATTCCAAGTTTGACATTGCCTGTTCTTTGTATATAAGCAATAAAAAGTATTCACGAACAAGGTTTAAGTCAGTTTGAACTTACTTACAGTTAACTTTTAAATATTTCGGTACTTTGTGGGTTAGGGGGCCAGCAAAATTTCTGATTTTTTCAATCGAGTAATCGAGGGTGTTGAGCACGAATTTGACAGTTTTAACATGGGTCTTCAGCTGACAACTTTAAACAGAGAAGGAAAATTATTTCGTACCATAAATCGAACCGGTCGATATTGAAGCTGTAACTACCTGATAACTCTATTAGAACACTAGTAGTATCAGTTTCTGGTTTGACCTGGCTAAAAACCCGATTCGAACATTCCTGGATGAGACCATTTTGATACTAGTACCAGTCACTAATATGGTACAAGGTCTAGTATTTGATACAAATGGATCTCATGGTCCTGACACTGGAGTCTAACTAATTGTAAGCCTACTAGCCAACATTTTACGATAAGTCTAGTAATAAATAAGCACTACAAGAACAAGAAATATATTGCAGTATGGTCATTCTGTACTTGGTATAGTGCCGCTCAAGGTTCACAATGGAGTTTAGAAAGTATCCCCGAAGTCGGTTCACTACAATTGGAATTCCGAGATTTGAGTAGGGTTATCGGATATGAATATTTCGAGGTATAGGTCAGTTCAATTAAAACCTATCACTTAGCGCTTGTTGCTTTCTGGAAGCGGCTGTTAACGTCTTAAAAAATATCCACGCGATTGGTTGTGATGGAGGGCTTTGCAAAATGTTAATCAATCTAGCGACTAGGCTTTTTACAGCTTTTAGGCTAACAAGGTTGAAAAAAGCAAACAAAACAAACAAACCAGAAACAAAACAAAAACAAAAATTCAGGCTAAAGTGCTAAAAGTAAAATTAGAGACATGAGTGCGGTAGTTTTTAAAAGTTTAAAAGTTTTAACCACTTCAGCTTATACCAAAAGGTACCATGAGTGACGAAATTTACTAAATGCTCAAAAGTAATTCATGAAACAAAAAAAATCAGATGCCACTACACTTTAGTGGCATTTTGTACTAGTCACGATGACTGGGTACCTAAGTTTTTTTGAAGCTTTGATAGACAGAACAAAATCAGATTTAAATCATAACTTTCTTCTGAGTGGACCGATCTTTATGTTTTTATTATTTTTAAACGGACAGAATCAGAAATGCAGCTAAAGTCGCATGAAAAACTGAAAAAACTCTCAACAATGTTGAGAGCAGCAAAATGACACTAACATCATAAATATTGACACACTCAGGAGAAAGTTATGGCAAATTGTGCAAAAAATGTTTTTAATCGATTGTGTTTCTTTTCTTACCTTTGTTTTCAGTAAGTCAAAAGATTTAGACAATTAACTGAATATTTTGATATCACAAAAATCATTATAAAAGCTCATGCGTTCATAGTTCTCATAGTTTTTTCATAATTCATAGTTTTTCATTTCATTCAGAATTTCGTGGGTATTTTGTGAAGTTCATTCGTTCATATCCCCCTCTATACGATAAAAGAACCCCATTTTATCCTCGTTACGATAAAAGAACCCTGTTTTATCTAAGAAAAAATTAAAAACTTACCAAGGCGAAGTACAAAATTCCACCTAAGTGTAGTAGCATCTGATTTTTTTTTTGTTTTATGAATTATTTTTGAGCATTTAGTAAACTTCGTTATTCATAGATCACCTTTTTTGTTTCATGTTTTATGTTTTGGAAAGTTCATGTTGTGTGACCATTCAATTTTTATCAAATTTTAGTAAGTACAAAATGTGCAATTTTTTGAATAAGTTACCCTTAAATTTATAGTTTTATTTGCTGCAGCTTATGTGCGCGTGCTAAGTGTATACGTAAAACATTGGTGCACGATTTTAACTAGCAGCAATACCTACTTTTGAGCGCAAATGCAATCCACTCTTAGGCTCTATTCTTTTGAAATATGTTTCTTTACTCAAAAATTTTATTTACTGAATTATTTTTTATCTTTAGTCGATATTCGCTCGTTTTTTGCTGGATAATTGCAAAAGATGGGTGGGATCACTCAACAAAAGGCGAACGCCGGAGCTGCCGTTCGAAAGCGTCAGTTTGTTTTCTAACATTTCTACTTGCTTACTTAGCACTGCTCTCCAGTTGCCTAGTTGTAAAATCTACGTAGTTTGCCTAGAGGGCATGTAGCTGAGTGTAGTATTAGGTTGGTGAATAAGTCTTTTTGTACTCCCGTTTAAAATCAACGGTACTTTGGTGGTTGGGAGGGGCCACTTTTATTCGTGCTTAGTTTGATCTAAAGTTTTGAATGGTTGTATTGATCTTTTATCTATTCTAGGGTATGCTTAATAGATTGATAACTATTTTAGCAAGTTTTTGGCAATTCTAGCCTAATCTCATGTACTTTAACCACCAAACGCTACCTCAAAGCTGCGTACACTTGAAAATCAAATAAAAGCGGTAATATGAGACTTGAAACATGATGTAAATGCTTTAAAAGTACAGTACCGAGCAAAAGTCTTGCAACATCACTTTTTCAAAAAAATCGATGAAATTTTTTTATAGAAAATGCCACCCGTTCGTAAAGCTTTTTTGTTTTTAATTAGAATAATATATGTACACTTTATTTACAAAAACAAATTTGAAGTTCAGCGTAAAACAAAAAAGTAAATGACAAAACTACTAAAAAATACCCTAAAAACTGGGTGCAAAAGTCTTGCAACATTTTATGTTTCTCATTTTTATTGTTTTCAAATTTATTAATTTACACTAATTTTTGTTTTTTTCAGATGCCAGGTACCTACTTGACGACTCCCGAAAGAGAAAAAATCATGAAAGCAAGAAAAAAAGGAATTTCTCGAGCCGTTGTCTGCGATCTCTTCAAATGCGATCCTTCGACCGTTTCTCGCATTGTTTCAAAAGCAAAAACAACTGGACTTATGCACCGAAGAAAGAAGAAAGGACGGCCAAGAAGAACAACAGCAAAGAGGATCGAATACTTTTGATGGCTTCCAAGAAGGATCCGAACATGATATCAACTGAGGGAGCTCGGCTGATCAAGGATGTTGCAAACAAGGATATCTCTCGATGGACCGTTTCTCGACGATTGACTCAAGCAGGACTGTATAGCCGGCGGGCTGTACGAAAGCCTTTGATGACCGCTGGCCATAGGAAACAACGGCTTCTATTCGCCAGGACGTACCAAAGTTGAACAAAGCAGGATTGGGCCAACGTGATTTTTGTCGATGAAACAAAAGTGGATATCTTTTCTCCAAAAGGCAACCACTTGATCAGACGACCCATTGGAAAGCGAATACTCCTTAAATATGGTGCGACCTACAATGCGAGCTGGCGGAGGATCAATCATGTGTTTTGGTAAGCCTTATTTCTAATACATGCATTAATTTGTCTTTTTTTAGGGGCGATGACAAAAAATGTGGCAGGTCCGCTCGTCCTCGTCCAGTCAACCATGAATGCTCGCCAGTATATGGAAATACTAGAAGGATGTCTACTTCCATTTGCTCAGGATCACATGGCTCCTGAATGGTTTCTCTACCAGGACAACTCGCCGGTCCACAAGAGCAAGCTCATGATGGGTCGCACCGTGAATCTCTCAAATGGAGGAAAAGCTCATCTCCCTGGATGGTTTGCCCTTAATAATGTTTTGTTAGTCAAAGTGCCCCCTATGTCGCCTGATTTAAACGTTATTGAGAATTTATGGGCTTACGTGAAGGCAAAGTTACGAGGAAAAGACTTTCACACAAAAGTTGACTTATGGTTCTACATACGAAAAGTTTGGAGCTCAATTCGCCCAGCAATTCTTCACGAATTAGTCGACTCAATGCCTAAACGACTTAATGAAGTGATTTTGGCAAAAGGTGGACCGATTGAATATTAATTTTTGATGTTTCTGTAAAATGTTGCAAGACTTTTGCACCCAGTTTTTAGGGTATTTTTTAGTAGTTTTGTCATTTACTTTTTTGCTTTACGCTGAACTTTAAATTTGTTTTTGTAAATAAAGTGTACATATATTATTCTAATTAAAAACAAAAAAGCCCTACGAACGGGTGGCATTTTCTATAAAAGAATTTCATCGATTTTTTTGAAAAAGTGATGTTGCAAGACTTTTGCTCGGTACTGTATAAGCATACTTGATGACCCTAAAATAGGTAGATAAAAAGTATAAATAAAATCACTTAAAACATTAGATCCAACTAAACGAGGATAAAAGTGGCCCCTCCCAACCACTAAAGTACTAAAACGGGTTTCGAATGTCTTATGTCTGGATTTTTTTGGGACCGTGAAGTCGGGTAGTCAAAAAGGGTGACGGCTCGAAGATGCGGTTTAGACACTTTAGCTAAAGGAAACCTATCTTCTAAATAGATAGATAAAAGATAATAATGGATAAAGGATAGAGCATAAAAAGTTTAGTATATAGCCAAATTTTCAGAAAATTGCATGCAGCCAATTTCTTTGTAGAGGTTTTTATAGATTTTTACAAAAAATACATTTTCAGTCTCGAATTTCCTTGAAATTGAACCCGAATTGACTTAAAAAGATTGAAATTGAAAAATAAACATTTTTATTTAAAGAAAACCAACTTAATTCATTAATTATTTTTCAAAACCAAGTATGAAGAGAAAAGTTTTTGCCATAAATTCTTTTATTTTACGACAATTGTTGATTCTAAAGTCAATTCAAATTATGAATTGAAAATATATAACATTTTTAGGACTTAAATTTGAATGAATAGAAGAATTTGAATGGATAGGAGAACTAGATAAAGTTTAGCCCTCTTGAAAAATAACATAAACTTTGCTAAGAGTTTAAAAACTTTTTCGGAAAAGGTCTACAGGGTGCGGCATACGTATGGTTACAGACTCAGAACCGTGTATCGTAATGAAATATGAACGGATTCATGTAAACTTTTTTATTTAAAAGTAGCAACAGTAATCATATTCATTTAAAAAATAACAAATTATTCAATATGGGCACCTTTATTCTTGATAACGGCTTTAAGACGCTTCGGATAACTTTCCACGGCGGCCCGCAGGGTACTTTGTGGAATTTTCGCCCAGGCTTTCTTCAGAGCCTTTTTCAGACTTTCAACATTTGCATGTTTTGTTGTGCATGCTTTTTGCTCCAAAATTGCCCAAACACATTAATTAATGTTGCAACTTTGTAACCATACTTATGCCGCACCCTGTAGATTATTCTAGTTTTAAATGTAGTAGAACGAAAATTGTATTGCTTCCTCATCTGCTCGTATTTTTAAATTTAGCACCGGAGGTAAAGAAATTACCCTCACACAGTCTTTTTGCTATAACTTGGTCGCTAATCACCGAATAACTTTGTAATTTTGGCGTTAAGCTTGTAAGTTTTTGAGAATAATCCACTTAAAATTTAATTCAAATATACTGATTCTACGCTGAGATATTAGCAATTTAAGAAAGGGTCAAGACTTAATTTACAACCTAATACCAATTCCCTTCCTTCAAAATTGCTAGGAGGAGGACCAAACAGACCAACCTTTTATTTTAGTGGCAACGGATCGTGAGATTGAAGGTTTGACTTCGAAATTACGACGATTATCACTTGATGACCCTGAATCTGAGAGAGCCGCCCTCGTTCAGAGGTAGATATAGTTTTCACGTGCTCTCCCTAACTGTTAGCAAATTATTATTTAGCATTTCAAGCAAAATTCGATCTGCCCGCCGATCAGCTCGACGCTCACTGGGTTCTTTCCCTACATGCCACGTTGAGAAGGATGATTTAGTACGCATCAAAGAAGCATTGTTTCAAGCTCATCTCACGTCAGGTATTCTACAGCGAGCTTCTGTGCTAATGGTGCTAGTTTTTTCTATAGATTCATTTTAGACGAATCTGCGGTTCGATCTATTTCTGTCGCTGCGAAAGAAATAGGAAATGGGCTACGGGCAAACTATGGAATACGTACACGTTCAATGGCTTCCAACCGCTGCCAGCTAAGCGTCAATCAAACAGAAAAAAAACTCGAAGATCTCGTTGCAAGAATTGATGAGAATGAAGTAAGGGCCCTACTACATGATAACTTGCATTTTACTATGAATTTAGCTTGCTCAATTTTGCTCTCGGGCTGGTTTGCCGCTAGAACTTGCAGATGTTGGTGGAAAAGATTATGCGTTCGACATTATCAACTATTCTCTTCACAACCAGGTACTTAATATATTCTTATTAGATAACATTTAGAAAATAATAGAATGATTTCTAAAATAAAAGCTACAAATAAATATGTTTCTGTTCTCTTTGTAGCATATTTAACATGAGTCTTTTTAAAAAAATGAAAACTCAACACGGCCTTCTTAGATGCCATGCGAAAATGTTGCTTCTCAATTTCCTGAGATTAAACGAGCTCGAATGGTTGATTGGATTTTCTGTATCTCCCGTGTGGTCAGGGTACCAGATGAATCGTATTTTTTGGCAGTACATCTGCTAGATAAAGCACTACTGGTTAGTTTATGATATTTTTACCTAATAGAAATTTTTTAGGTTGACAAAAACATTTCTGAAATGTCAGATGTGGAAAACCGCGTTGTTATGTTGGCAGCAGTGAGGCTTGCTGGAAGAGTCGAATTCGGCCCTGAATATGAAAATGAAATGGTATACGGAATGGTATACCATATCTATTTTTCAAACAATTTTTTAGTGCAGTCGTCTTAAGTCGGTTGTTTGCAATCTTAAACTACAGTGTGAAGAGGACAAAATTAAACAATGGGAATCTCAGGTTGTCCTTCCTTTTCTCTCTTCTGGTGACTGGAAAAATGTTTTAGCTTTTGAATTTTTTTGACTTTGGCATTTCACGCAAACACTTGTTGCATTTTCTCCGTATGTTTTGGGTAAGCTTTTTCGATACTTTTGGCACCCTTTCTGAAGTATCTTTTAGTTATTGATGGGTGATTTCATGAGTGGAACTGAGAAAAAAAAGAATGGGCCACGGTGAAGGGGTTCGCATGTATCGCAATGGCCAAAGCAACGCTGATGAATAGCAAGCCTTCACTTGTTGCTGCCGCCATTATGCGGATAGGACTTCACCTATTTTTTAATCGTGGTCAACTTCCGGAGGATAAAGTTTGTATTTCTAAAGAAATAATAATAACTGAGTTTACACAGTTTCCCCGAGTCATCTCGAGCCTTCTACACAAAGAAAGTGAATACGTGCCGATCGCCACAAATCTTTTAAATTGGGTTTTGTCTTCTCGAACATACATTCCAACGGTCAGTTATTTCAATTATCGATTATAGTTAGTTGGAGTTTGTAGATCACTCGTGTGTTTGAAGCCGATCAATATCATCCCAGTAAACAAGAGCTAGAAACTATTGCCTGTGAATTAAAGAACTTCGATAAGTATTGTCGTAGAGGCTAACACTTCGATATTTTTTGTAAATTAATCTAGCATTTGTGAAAGGAAAATTGTATGTTTTTTTATTTTATACTACCGTAAATGTTTCAATTATTTCTGTGCCGTCAATTTTAAAATTTGTAACATCTTTTATGCCGAAATAAATATAGCAAATTGTATTTGAGGTTCAAATTCTTCATTGCATTCGCAGAGAAAGCGAAAATTGCCCCAAAATTAAAGTATGTTCCCGCGACTAATGTATTTTCCAAAAGGTGGCTAATTTTGAAAACTACCGCAATTTTTCAATGTGTCAGTTTCTCCAAAAATGAGCTCACGTGAGTTGCAATAAACTTCGACTGCAGCCTAGGGGGACACTTTAGGGAGAGTATTTCCTCCTTTTTTAGAGCGTCCAATTTCTCCGCATCCAATAACATGCCGACTACGGCTTATAGATAAAAAATGCGCAAGAAATTTGGGGGGTAGTCAAAACAGCGCCATAATGGAAAACGTTCAAAACAGCGCCGTCAAATTTCTCAAAATCCAAAAAACCAAGCCGGTTCAAGTTTTATACCAAAAAATTCCTTGCATTCTTGGCTAAATGATGAGTAAAACTGTTTTTTAAAAAAGGTAATATTTCATAGATAAAAAGAGCACTCAAAATGTGTGTCGGGCGATACTCAGTTGGTTAACTGAATATCTTTAGCGACCCATTTTGAGTGTTTAAAAACTGTTTCACTCATCATTTAGCCAAGAATGCAAGGAATTTTTTGGTATAAAACTTGAACCGGCTTGGTTTTTTGGATTTTGAGAAATTTGACGGCGCTGTTTTGAACGTTTTCTATTATGGCGCTGTTTTGACTACCCCCCAGAAATTTGCTTTCGAACGGCACTTTGTGCTCGTAAAACGGTTCACTCGTTTTTGAGAAAGACCTAAAAAACAAAACAAAAAATTGTACAAATTCGGAGTTCATTTGATTTTTGTTTGCTCAAAATCAAAACTTACGAGTTGTCATTAACTGTATCCTCATTGATCAGGAAAGATTTTAACTACGTAATAAGACCACAATGCCACTCACAACCACCAAAAATACAAGATTTTCTCCATTCTTTCACTATAAACGTGTTCTTCGGTGAAAATTAGATTTTAGAGAAGATTTCGTTCGATCTGATATCTGCATACGATCTCAGCTCCATTAGATTTGCTCTTTAAAAAGTTACTATACTTTTTAAGGAGTTAAAACATCGAGACGAAAAGATTACCTTTACAATGCTGTATTAGACCGATCGCTAGCTCGATTTCTCAATATTCTCGCTCTATTCGCTCTCTAATCCGGCAGAAATGCCTTCTCATTCAAAATCTAGCCCATCTTATCCGACTTGTTCAATGGAGACTCAATAGTGTGCATAGTTTTCAATCATTTTTTTTTTTCAATGTCCAAGAAAATATTTAGCACCAACAAATGTAATGGATCGTTTAAAATGAAATATTTTTTTTTGATTATCTTTGAGTTTTTCAAGATATTACCTGAATATCTTGAAAAGCCTCAAGCTATTTAATTTCTTTGTTTAAAAATTTTACTAGAAATTATTTACAACAAATGGAAAGTAGGCTACTTTCCGCCAAATTTCTTGCGCAAACAGGATCATTTGCGCAACACGCCATAACTTTCTTCTAAGTCATCCAGTCTTTATGCTTTTGGTGTCATTTTGTTGTACTTATTGAGATCTACAAAATGACACCAAAAGCATAAAGATTGGATGACTTAGAAGAAAGTTATGTCGAGCCAAACGACCTAGTCATTTGTCAACTGGGTCGTTAGCGCAACACGCCATAACTCTCTTCTAAGTCATCCAGTCTTTATGCTATTGGTATCATTTTGTTGCACTTATTGAGATCTACAAAATGACACCAAAAGCATAAAGACTGGATGACTTAGAAGAGGGTTATGGCGTGTTGCGCTAACGACCCAGTTGACAAATGACTAGGTCGTTTGGCTCGACATAACTTTCTTCTAAGTCATCCAATCTTTATGCTTTTGGTGTCATTTTGTAGATCTCAATAAGTACAACAAAATGACACCAAAAGCATAAAGACTGGATGACTTAGAAGAAAGTTATGGCGAGTTGCGGAAATCAGCCTACCCCCAAAAAAATATCAAAGTCTCATCAATGATCATAATACATTGCATAATAATCATCGTCTTTTCGATAATTTCTTCGCGTTGTTGTCGGTATTGTTGTCGATCGAGGAGATGATTTTATCGTGATTCTTCTTGCCGTTCTTGTTGTTGACGAAAATATTGACTGCGTGGTATTCGATAAACGAATCACTCGCTGTTGCTGGGGTTTAGCTGTAGTTGATGGTGTAGTTGATGGTGGAGAGACTCGGACATCGATCAACTGGAAAGTTATTGACAACTTTTGATTGACATGGACCCTAGAAACTAGAAAAATGACGAGTGTCACACTACAAATGCTTATAACTTTGCTATAAAGCTGTCTGATTCATATGGTCTATAGCTAAAAAGATAGAGAATCTCAAGAGCTTTCAAATGAACCAAAGCACACTGAAAAAGCTTAATTCTATCAAAAGTTACAGGGGTTTATAGTCTGACGGACCGTACTCGTGTGAGTCAGACTACAAACCCCTGTAACTTTTGATAGAATTGAGCTTTTTCAGTGTGCTTTATTTCATTTGAAAGCTCTTGAGATTCTCTATCTTTTTAGCTATAGACCATATGAATAACACAGATTTGAAGCAAGTTATAAGCGTTTATAGTTCACATTTGTAGTTTGTAGTGTCAATGTCTAACTTGCAGTGCGGCTCAATCAATTCTGCCAATAAATGTTCTATGGAAAGCGGATTTACCCTTTCCTGTTTAATTCTTAGGGATTTTCCCATAAATAGATTGAAATCTAGGTTCTAAATACCTTTTTCGGGGGCGTAATATCAATCGACTTCTCAACGACAACCATTTCTTCGCCTCCATCCACATTCACCATTTCTTCCTCACCATCTTCGGAAAATGAGAGCTCCGGCAGAGAATCAGCACCGGATTTCTCGATCTCTGAAATCATTTGAGCAAATTTTGATTTGAACAAAGAAAAGCTCACTTTTCGATGGGGGAATCGGTTTCTCGACTGGTTCAATGACTGCCCCTTTTGGCACTTGTATCTCAACGTCCACATGATCTACACGATCCTCATCTCCATCAGTTGATTTGCTCAACTGAAACAAGTCAAATCCACATAACCATCTACCGTACTTTGATTGATTTCATAAAAAAGACTTTCCTTACGATAAACCGATAACTAATCGATAACTAATCAAAACCCACCTGACTATAGTAATCCCCGTCACCGTTTTTATCAATCGAAAACGAGATATCAGGCTTTTCTCCTAATTTATTCTTCGGTTTCAACCCGTCAACGATCTCGGTGAAATCCGTTCCGAAATCCCCGTCTTCTGGCAGAATTTCGGTCTTCTTTCGCTCATTAGCTAAAGAGAATTACAATAAATATTCTATTAAGTTTCTAGAGGAGCGTTTCGTAGTCTAACTATTGGGTTGGTGAATTGAAAACTGCAGCCTATTGTCATCTGTGACAGTTTGAGCACTTTCTTCAAAAGAAACCCATTTTGGTGTCAATGGAAAAGTTGTAGAGAATCAAAAATCAAGCTTATATCCAAATTTCCAAAAAGATTTTCCTTTTAAAGCTTAATTTTCGCGCAACCTCGCATTCCAATTGACGTCGCCGCCATTTGGAGGTAGTTGATGGGAGCGCCGCGTCGTCGTTTCTTTTTTGTTTTCAAATCATTTGCTTTGTCAGATTCGATTGAAAGTATTGTTTTACTTGTTTTTTTTTTGTTGTTTTTTGTTTTATTGATAAATTTTGTATTAAAATGAGAAAGCAATCAATTTCTATTGGGTTGGTGAATCGAAAAATGCCGGCTATTCTCATCTGTGACAGTTCTCACACTTTCTTCAAAAGAAACCCATTTTGGTGTCAATGGAAAAGTTGTAGAGAATCAAAAATCAAGTTTATATCCAAATTTTCAGAACGATTCAAAAAATGGTTTTCAAGAAATGCCAAATTTACACAAAAGAAATGCCAAATTTTCACAAAACTTGCATTTTAAGCGAAACTACTGAGTGTATCTTTTTGGAAATTTGGCTATAAGCCTAATTTTTGATTCTCTACAACTTTTCTATTGACACCAGAATGGGTTTCTTTTGAAGAAAGTGCTCAAACTGGGCTGGCAGCTGACATCTCCAGTCCTCCATTCTGGAGGCTCACACTTGTCTCACACACAAACCAAAATCCTACTACGAAAGAGGAATCCGCAAATTGCCTGTAAAATGGGCAGAAATCGTCAATAATAATGGAAATTATTTGGAATGAATTCATGGTTTTATGTTCAATAAATTTTAGTTCAAAGCCCGGCAGTTTTCAATTCACCAAACTAATAGAATTACTATAAATATTCTAATAGAAGCTTCTAGAGGAGCGTTGCGTAGTTTAACTAGAAAACTGTCTCAATTTATTACCGATTTTCGAAACCAAACCTACAAAAGCCCCCATCGAATTCTAAGAAACATTTTTGAGAAAAAAAGCGTGCAAAGTTTTAGCTAATTTTGGGAAACTGCCGGGTATAAGGGGTCGCCAAGCTGGCCGGCAAAGGGCATGGATGGCCTAGGGGATAGTGAACCGGTCTACAAAACTATCCCTCGCAGGTTCGATTCTGGCCCAAGCCGAATTTTTGAAAACTTTTGGAAAACATCTTTTGAACTTCTAAAAGAGTTTTAAAACATTCATTTAACTTGTAATACTTTAAAAAACGATCCACAATCGACCAAGATTCAAGAAATTGCCTTTTTAAGGTTCTCTAGTCTTAAAAAGCCAAAAAAAGACGATTCTTTTATCATTTTTCAATCCTTTATTTCTAAGTGCTGGTTTAAGCTAGAAATCTGTTTTATAGCTGAAAAAAACACGCATTTTCTCTATTTTAATTTGCTGCAAAA